GGCATCTCCCGTTAACAGTGACAGGTGTGCTTCTCACCTCTGCTCTGGTCAGTGCTGGCTGTTCTGTTCCCAGGGCTAGAAGCCCCTTTGGCACCCAGGCCCCACACTGGAACCATGGTACTCCTGGTACACCCAGAACTGCCTTCTAGCATGTCCTACCTTGGGGAGGGACCCCCTGAGAGTAGAGCCTGGGGTTACTCATAAAGGGCCATGTAAGAGGCTGGCCCTGCTGTTGGTTAGCACCAGGCCACCCAGGCATACCCATGGAGGCAGTGGTATACTGGAAGCAGACCCCCAGCACCTGCTTCCTGGGCTGCCAAGACCCCCATGGCCCTCAGCTGCTGCAGCCTCTTCACAGCTCTCAGGCCACCTCAGTCCTGCTGGCATCACCGGCCTGTGTGTCCAACCACCCAGAAGCGTCATGAGACCCATCACTAGATCTCTAACAAGCTTGTCCTATGCTCCTGTGCTCACCAGACCCTCCTGGATCCCTCAAACACCATCCAGGCGAGCAGGACCTGTCCCCCAGCTTGGCAGGGCCCACCCCACATCCCAACACACCACGCAGCACAGCTGCGGCCTCCTGGTCAAGAGCCCAGTACAGGAAGGGAGCCTGTGGGACACCTGGCAGGTGACCAGTGCAGTGGCAGTCACCACAGCCAGTGGCCACCACATGGCTCATGCCGCTTGGGGGTTGTCTGCTCTAGGCCAGGCACTCCTGAGGAGGAAGCCTTGTGGAAGCAGAGGTCCACAGGCAGCAGGGAGCTGAACGTGTGAGGTGCTGGTGGGCAGCGGAAAGCCACATGGCAGGGGGCCGTGGGCACCTGAGTTGCAAGGGAGGGTCCTGCTGGGTGGGGATGCTGGTGCAGGGTATCCTTTCCCCTGGACCATGCCTGTTGGGTCACACGCTATGTCCTGCCCACTGGCAGCCAGGAGCACACAGCCTCAGCAGGGAAGGGCTCATTTGAGCTGATGGCAGATGCCAGGTTCAAGCTGGGCCATGTGGAGGCTTCAACATCAAACTCTCCCTGTCAGTTTCTGGCCTCTGAGCCCCAGCCCTTTCTCCCACTGCCAGAGAGACCAGAGGGCTCTGGGGAGTTGGGAGAGGTGAAGAGTTGTCCAAGTGTCAGGCCAGTGGTGGCCTTAGTTCCTGCCTGTTCACTCTCTGGGGTGGGGGTGGGAAGAGACCTGCCTGCTTTTCAGCATGGGTGGGCTGAGTGCACCCCTGCAGCCACTCCAGCTCTCAGCATCATCCTCCCACTCACTTGCCAGCCAGCCTCAGCCAACACTAGGAATGGATCAGGGGCTTGGCTTGGCTGCCTCCCAGAGGGCTATGGAGTCTCCTGGGGTATAGATGTGAGAGCCTCAGGTGCCAGGCAGGAAAGGCCCAGGGGTGGGCACCAGTGGTATGGGTGCCCAGCATTGTCTAGGTGTGCAGCAGGTGGCCCAGAGCCTGCTTCCTGGAGGGTGGCTCTGGCAGGGATAGGGCTAGGCACCAGGTGGACAACACACTGGGTGCAGACCTGAGTGGCTCAGGAGGGGAGGGGGGCACATGTGCTCCCACCAGCTGAGCACCCCAGTAATCCTGCAGTTCTGCTGTGGACACCCTGCGGGCTGTGCTGCTTCGAAGCGGCAGCGAGGATGTGGCACAGCGCATGGACCAAGAGGGAGGCTGGGAGCTGCTCAGGACCTCGGCAGGGCACGAGGAGGGGGCCACCAGGTTGGCCAGGTGAGCAGGCCCAGCCTATTGTAGCTCCAGCACTGGCTGGGCTCCAACTGATCTCTAGGGGCCCGGGACGTGACAAGGATCAGGCAAGGGTCCCATGTGTGTCAGGCCAGTGGTGGCCTGGACTCCTGCCTGTTAACTCCCTGGGGTGGGGATGGGGAGAGACCCTTGCAGAGACTTGGCAAGACAAGCTGGGAGGCACCTGTGAGTGGAAGAACTCAGAGCCTGACAGCTGGAGGTGGACTGACCAAGGCTGTGCAGGGTGGGAGGTGCCTGGGTAGGGTTCAGTGCAGCAACAGCCCCTGCACCCTCAGCAACCTCCTTTGCAGGGCCATGGCTGAGCATGCGGGGCCCCGGCTACCCCTGGTGCTGAAGGCACTGGCATGCACACAGAGCAGTGTCTATGAGGTCCAGAGGGTGACCACCACCGCCTTCCTGGCTGAGGTAGGCCTTTCCAGGGAAGGAGACTGGGCAACAGGGTAGGCCTCCTGCTCAGGGCAGGCACGGGACACCCTTTTCTGAACCCTAAAAGGCCCCCTTAACTATGGCCTGCAAGGGAGGGAAGTGGATGTTAGCCACCACCTCCTGGTGTGCCAGAACTCGCTCCATCCTGCCCAAGAACACCTCTGTTCTTGGTGAGAGGAAGATCCGGGCTGCCTGCAACCTGTGCTCTGCCCAGGCCCTGCTGGGCACATCTGTAGCTGGGCAGGGCTGACCCTGGAACTCCAGATGACTTTGGCAGTGTGGTCTTGGCCCTTGTGGCCAAAGATGCCAAAATATTGCCCATGGCTATGCAGCAGGGCAGGGTGGGGGTCAGAGCAGGCCCCAGCAGCAGAAGTGGGAGGGGTTGCCACAGATACGAGAGCCAGGGAGTAGGTCCTCCACCTCTTGTCTGCCTCACCGGTATGGGGGCAGCCTGTGGTGTTCTGGGCCTGGGCTGGTGGGTTGGGTCCTAGGGTTGGCTGGAGGGGCAGTCACGACACCTCTGCCTGAAGCTGCTGAACAGCAACGTGGCCAATGACCTGATGCTCCTGGACTCGCTGCTGGAGAGCCTGGCGGCGCGGCAGAAAGACACATGCGCCAGTGTGCGGAGGCTGGTGCTCCGTGGTCTGGCCAACCTGGCCTCTGGCAGCCCTGACAAGGTGGGGTGACCCCCAGCCCCTCTGGGGCCCAGGCAGCGTGGGTGGGGGCTGTGCATGAATGCCACCGTCTGGTGGGGTGGCAGACAGTAACTCTGGGACCCAGGCTGAATGTAGGGTACCCTCAGGTGCGGGCCCATGGTCCCCAGCTCCTCACAGCCATGATTGGCGGGCTGGATGACGGGGACAACCCTCACAGCCCAGTGGCCCTGGAAGCCATGGTGGGCCTGGCGCAGCTGCTGCACCTGATGGAGACCTGGGACCTGCGCTCGGGGCTGCTGCACGTGGCCATCCGCATCCGGCCCTTCTTCGACAGTGTAGGCTGCACTGAGGATGGGGCGGGGTGGGGGAGGGAGGCCCCAGCCCTTCCTGCCTTTCACTCTGAGCTTTAGCCCCAGCCCATCCTGCTCCGTGTCATTCTCCCACCACTGCTAGGTGACCACGGAGAGCTCAGACCTGCATGGGTGCTGCTTTGCTGGGCCTGGCAGCCCCCACCTGTCAGGGAGTGTTTACTGGCCTGTGTCAGGCGAGGGCACAATCAATGGCGGGGCAGGGGGTGGTGGTGGTGGTGCTAGGACAGGCAGGCCCACAGGGGTGCATGAGAGGGGATGCATGCTGCATGTCCGTCCCAGGAGAAGACGGAGTTCCGGACTGCATCCATCCGCCTCTTTGGGCACCTTAACAAGGTCTGCCACGGAGACTGTGAGGACATCTTCCTGGACCAGGTGATGGGTGGGATGGCACCCCTGCTGCTGCACCTGCAGGACCCTCAGACCACTGTGGCCAGCGTGAGTAGCCAGGGGGTGGGGGTGGGGGTGGGGTGGGTGGCCTCAACTGGATTCAGCCTCAGTGCTGCACCCTTCAGGCCTGCAGGTTCGCCCTGCTCATGTGTGGCCCCAACCTGGCGTGTGAGGAGCTCTCAGCCGCCTTCCAGAAGCACCTGCAGGAGGGCCGGGCCCTGCACTTCGGGGAGTTCCTCAACACCACCTGCAAGCACCTGGTGAGAGGCAGGGTGGGGCCAGGTGGATGGGGTGGGGCCAGGTGGGGCGGGGCCAGGTGGGGCGGGGCCAGGAAGAGCTGAGCAGGCCTCTCCCCAGATGCAGCACTTCCCAGACCTGCTGGGCCGCCTGCTGAGCACCTGCCTGTTCTACTGCAAGAGCAGCTGGGAGGGCGTCCGAGCCGCTGCCCCACTGCTCACGGGTGAGCACCAGCCCCTGCCCTGCCCCCATTCTGCCCGCAGCCACGCCTGACACCCCCACTTCACAGGGTTCCTGGTGCTGCACGCCGAGCCCAGGCAGCAGCCACAGGTGGACCTGGACCAGCTCATTTCGGGTGAGTACCCCCTCCACAGGGCCCCTCTGCTGGGCCCTGCTGACCCTGTAGGCACCCGCAGGGACTAAGTGATTTTCCTGGATTTCAGGATTTTTTTCCTTGTCACTGGTGACCTCATCGTCTCTAGTAATTCACGGAAACTTCTTAACTGTTCCAAAAGAGCTTAAAAAACACTAAAAAAGGAAAAACTATCTTTCCGTTGGCTCCTGAGCCCTCCCAGCAAAGGCTGTCAGGAGAGCGTGGCCCACGAGCAGGCATAGGCGTGTGGAGGTCACAGCCCCCAGGCACAATGGCTGCAAGGCACTGCCCCAGGCAGCCCCTCCCTCTGCCCCCAGCATTCCAGATCCTGCTGAAGGACCCGGCCCCAGAGGTGCGGACGAGGGCTGCTGAGGCCCTGGGCCGCCTGGTGAAGCTCGCCTGAGGCTCCGGCCAGCACCCCCAGCAAGGAGCACCCACCCAGACCTGTGCCTGAGCTCCAAGACAGGGTCTCCTGAGGACCAGCCACAGGGTTGGAGGGGCCTGGCCCCAGAACAGTCACTGCCAGGGACCAAACTCAAGCCCTCAGTGAGGGACGTGCCGGGGCCAGACGGGGTGTGGGAGACAGTGTGCCCAATAAACTCATCTGCTCCCAGCAAATGACTGACAGGGTGCAGTGCCACAGCCTCTTAGGGGATGGGCCAGAGGGTGCCTGGGGCTGGGTGTGCTGTCCCCACCGCTTTTGCAAAACTGAGTGGGGGGCTCGGTGCTGTGGTGGGGGCAGCTTTGTCGGCAACCCCAATTCAAGAAGGTGGGAGCACCAGGCAGCACAGGGAAAAGCCTCTATTGACTCCAGCACAACTGCCCCGGCCCCAAGGCAGGCGGCAGAACTATGAGAAGAGGCGGATGGTCCCATCTGCCCCCGAGGAGAAGACCCACGGCTGAGTGGGGTGGAAGATGACGTCTAGCACTCCCAGGTCTCGGGTCATCATGTGTCCCTTCAGCACCTTGACAGGAACCAGCAGGGGGTTCTGCAGAAGGTCACTGTGGGGACAAGGATGACTCAGGACACAGCCAGACACCCCTGCCCTGGGTAGGGGGCCAGGCAGGGCTGGCACTCACTTGTACACCATGCCATGACAGATGATGACAGTGCCGTCATCCGACCCTGATGCGAAGAGTGGGTACCGGGGGTGGAAGGCCACAGCTCGCAGAGCTTTCTTGTGGTGTCTGTGGGGAGGAACCAGGTTGAAGGCAGGCTCGGGCTAGAGGGAGGGGCTCCACTGGCCTCCACCCCAAGCTCTTCTCACCTCAGCACCCTGTATGGCTTGGTGGAAAGATCCAGGTCAAACCACACCAGCTTGCTGTCGTAGCTCCCACAGATGATGTTGTCACCTAGAACCCAAGGCTGTGATGCAAGTGTCCCCACCCAGCCCTCACCTGCCGGGTGCACAGCCCCCACCCCCCTCACCTGCCGGGTGCACAGCCAGGCTGGACACCCACTTGCAGTTGGGCATCAGCTTCTTGGTGAGCTCCTGGCGCAGCAGGTGGTAGAGGCGGATGCTGCGCTGGGACGCCACCAACAAGAAGGGCCTCGAAGGGTGGAAGGCCACCCGCTGCACCTGCCCGTGGCTGCGGTGGAACGGGCTCTGGCTGCGGCGACGGCTCAGCTGATGGATCAGCACCTGGGCATGGCCCTGGGTGGCCAGTACCACGGCCAGGTAGTCCCCACGTCCATGCCAGGTCACCTGCGTCACTGGCTGCAGGAGGGCAAGGCTAGCTGATTGGCTGAGCCGGGCCCCTCCCGTGAAGCCTCACTCCCAACGCACCCCACACACCTTGCCATGGCAGATCCGTAGCCGCAGGCCCACTTGGCGCTCTTCCTCCGAGGCCTCCAGCCAGCGGGTGGGCTGCAAGGTGGGCTCCTCAGGTGGGATGAAGGCACTCAGCAGCTGATCCGTGCCGCCTGCCACCAGCCGGTCCCCCAGAGCCGGGTTCAGCAGTAGCACCGAGTCCTCCCTGTGGGCCAGGCCCAGACAGAGCCCCTCAGCACGGTGCCACCCCTGGCTCCCTTGTCCCCAGGGACCCCACTTACACAGCCACAGCCACCAGGCAGACAGTAGGGTTAGGGTTCCAGGCCGCACTCCTCACCACGCCCCCAACAGGCACAGTCCTCACACAGCGGGCAGTGGCCACCTCCCAGAGCCGCAGGGAGCCATCATCGGAGCCTGGACACAGCAAGGAAGGCTCTCAGCACCTGGCAATCCCACCTGCCCCCAGCTCAAGGCTGCCCCCAGCTCAGACCCACCTGAAGCCAGCCACTGTCCCCCAGGAGAGACACTGAGGCAGCGGACAAGGTCACTGTGGCCCCTGTAGACCTGAGAAAGTGGCGGTGAGGAGCCAGGCACGGAGGGCACAACCCAGCCCCTAGTCTCCACTTAACAGGCAAGTAGCCAGGCACGGAGGGCACAACCCCAGCCCTCCAGTCTCCACTTACCAGGGCCTGGCAGGTGGGGAAGGGCTGCAGGTCCCTCGGCCGAGGCAGCTTGGGGATAAGGTCCTCGGGGTCTACGTTCACCTGGGGCAGGAGAGTGCCAGGTCAGCCTTGCCCCATGTGCTGGCCCCCAGGCGTGCCGCCCCCACTTACCCTCATCTTGCGCTGCCGAGGGCACAGGTACAGGTCGAGGCAGCGCTCGAAGCGTTCCTGGACGAAGCGTCCGTAGGCAGGCACAGCCCGCAGGCTCGGGAACTTGCGTGGCAAAAAACTCAGCTTCCTCTCGCTCGGCTCCTGCTGTTCCCATGCTGCGCGCTGTGGAGGCCCGGGGGGACTCGGGTGAGGGGGGTCAGGGTACAGCATGGGGGCAGGGCCCAAACCCCCATTGACGCAGGCCCACCTCCTCCTCGCCAAGCAGGTATTCGGGGGGTGGGTTGTACGACTCGGCATGGCCAGGCAAGGCCAGCTTGGGTGCAGGCACATGCATCTTGTGACGCCCCAACACAGCGTTGGGGTCCTCCTGAGCCCACAGGTCATAGAAGCTGGGGGTGGGGTCTCGGGGCCGGCGGGGCTGGATCCAGCCCATCTTAATGGCGTGCACCATGCGAGAGACCTGCATAGACAGCCAGGTCAGGATGGACAACACAGGGCGGGCAGCCCAGGCCAAGCCCCAGGGGCATGGGGCGGCCCCACCTTCTCCTTCTCCACCAGGGAGGGGATAAAGCTGCGCTTGTCGGCTGGGCGGTTGGTCACCGGGTGGATCATGACGTCCCCACTGAAGAAATCGACAGCCGGCTGGGGAACAGACGTGGGCATGTGGGCTGGGGTGGCAGAGCCCCTGATGATGCCTTCAGAACCCCCCAGCCAGCCGCTGCCACCTACCTCATAGGGGTCGAAGCCTGTGTCCCCAAACTGGCCGCTCTGCAGCCGCCGCACCAGCGCCACCTGCTCGTCGGTCAACCTCAGGTCCCGCCCTGTCATTGGGTCCTGCACGGTGCGCCTGGAGACTGCCAGTCAGACCTGCCCCACCCCCCAGGCCCACCCCGGCCACTGGCTCTGCCCTGCCAGCCCTCACCAGTAGTCAGGGTTGTCCATCTTGTCCAGGAACTGATCCAGCTCATCCTGGGTCCTCAGGGGCTTGTAGATGCACCTGCCATCCAGGTCATAGCCCACATGGGGGAAGTCCTCATACCACTCCAGGGGCACGTTGCCCACCGTGTTCCGGATGTCCTGCAGCCAGCGGGGGCCATCATGTCAGCATTTAACCCTACAAGGCCTGTCCCAGCATCGGGTTACCCAGGGGAGCAGGTGAGGAGGTTTCAGGGTAAGTGCAGGCCTGGCCTCAAGGGCCCTGAGGTCACTGGTCCCGACATACGCCCTTTCCCCAGCCCTGGGGTCTGACGTGGCACGGCGGCCACGCTGCCCCCACCCCCGCCCTTGGAGGCGCCGGAGCTGCACCTTCACATTTTCCACTGAAGTGGTGCCAACCCCAGAGCTCCCCCCTCATTGGATTCCTTGGCCAGGGCTCTGGGCAGCCACAGACAGGGATGACCTCATCACCCTCGGGCTCCCTCCCCTGGCAGGGGCCTTAGGCAGAAGTGGGCAGCTGCAAGACAGGGACTCAGGGAAGACCCCAACTGACCAACTCCACAGAGAGACAGAAGCCAAGGCCTCTCTGTGGGAGCACCCCACTGTCTGCACCCGGCCCCTCCCCAGGCAGAACAGCCACGTTCCTGGACGCAGATTCCTGGTTGCAGCCCCTGCCAGCCGCCACCCTCGCTCTTTCCAGCCTGGGGACCGCTGCCCAGGCGGCTGCTTCCTGCAACAGTAGCCACAGGGAGGGGCCCAGGCAAGACAGCACAGCTGGGAGCCTGCCGCCCCCCGCCATAGGAGGGACCCCTTGGGCCCTGCCTCTCCCCAGAGGGCCACCCCCAGCACCTCCCCGCACCCCTGCCTTCCCTCTCCTCCCCATGGGAAAAGGGGGCCATCCCCAAACTGGGGAATGGGGGTATGTGTATGTCTCCTGAGGGGCCTCGTGGCCCTGGAGAGGAACAGGAGAAAGGTGGGGGAGATGAGAAACAGACCCACAGGGAGAGGAGGGGTCCACATAGCACAGGAATAGGGGGCCTGGTCAGGGCCTGGCAGGAGGTACAGTCCGTGCCAAGCCTGGAGGTGCAGGTGCAGGACAGATAGGCAGGGACTGAGCTCTAGGCCCTTGAATACTCGTCTGTGCCCGCCCCCTGCACACACAGCCTGGCACAGACAGGACCTGGCGCACATGGAGTCAGACAGACAGGGTGCGGTCAGGCAACCGGGCCAGGGCGGCTGGGTTAACACGGTTGTGCCACGGGAGAAAGTGGGGTGGTGGGTCCAGCTGACCTCCTTCCCGTCTCCTGGCGAGGGGAGACACTGCAGTCTTGGGGCCCTGAGCAACTATGGCCTACAGGCCTCCCACTTCCTCCGCATCCCCAGAGACAGAATGATGCTCCAAAGACCCGCACCCCGCCCCCACAAGTGTGGCCACAGAAGGCCCAGGGACTCGACGGGCAGCTCAAGGAGCCTCCGGGCCAGGAGGGGCGGGGCGTGCACGGGGGCGGGGCCGGGCCGCCGCTATAAAGGCGCGGCTCAGGGCCCCGCTCCAGCCCGGGACGCACATGTGCGCGCGGCGCCCGGCAGCTGCCACCGCGGGGCGCACCCGAGACCCCGCGCCTTGCCTCGGCCCCGGGTGGCCCGCGAGGCCCGCGGCGGCCGCAGGAGGCGGCATGAGCAGCGTGCGACGGAGCTGACGCCGCGCCCCCGCTGGCCCCATGTCCTTCGCCACGCTGCGCCCGGCGCCGCCGGGCCGCTACCTGTACCCCGAGGTGAGCCCGCTGTCGGAGGATGAGGACCGCGGCAGCGAGAGCTCGGGCTCCGACGAGAAACCCTGTCGCGTGCACGCGGCGCGCTGCGGCCTCCAGGGCGCCCGGCGGAGGTCTGGGGGCCGGCGAGCCGGGGGCGGGGGGCCGGGGGGCCGGCCAGGCCGTGAGCCCCGGCAGCGGCATACGGCGAACGCGCGCGAGCGGGACCGCACCAACAGCGTGAACACGGCCTTCACGGCGCTGCGCACGCTGATCCCCACTGAGCCCGCCGACCGCAAGCTCTCAAAGATCGAGACACTGCGCCTGGCCTCCAGCTACATCTCGCACCTGGGCAACGTGCTGCTGGCGGGCGAGGCCTGCGGAGACGGACAGCCGTGCCACTCGGGTCCAGCCTTCTTCCACGCAGCGCGCGCGGGCAGCCCACCGCCACCGCCACCACCACCTCCTGCCCGAGACGGCGAGAACGCCCAGCCAAAACAGATCTGCACCTTCTGCCTCAGCAACCAGAGAAAGTTGGTGAGCACGGGCCGTAGGGCACCGAGGGGGCCTCCAATGCACCCGTCAGCCCACACCTGCCAGGCAGAGGAGGGGAGGCCACGCAGGCAGGGCTCCCCAACAGGGCACAGGCAGGCACACCTGTAACACAGGCCTGCCGGGGGCTGGGCCTTCTCCTTGGGCTCCTCTCCAGGAGTCCCTAGGACACCTGGCTCCCAGTGGAGTGCAGAGTCCCTCCCAGGGAGCTGCAAGAGGGGCGAGAGCTAGGGAAGGCCAGAGGGGGCCCTACCCAGTGCGGGGAGGCTGGGGAGCTGGACCAGGCCGCTGCAAGCTGCCCTATTCAGCAAGTTTAAAGGTGGAGTGAAAACAGCGGAGTTCATAAGTAAGATGCTGCTTCAAGCCCACCCTGCCTCTGGCAAGGGGCAGCAAGAGAGTTGGGACCCTGGGATCTTCACAGCCCCTGCGGCCCACCACCAGCCTAGGCCATCTTGGGCACCTGCTGTCCACCCCCTGCCCAGGCTGCACAGCAAGACGCCAGGCCCTGTAGAGCTGCCGGAGACATGGACCATGGGACATGAAGGCAGAGGCTGGCAGGAGATGTGGGGGCCGGGGAGGTGAGGGCTCCTGCAGGAGACGCTGGCCAGCTGTGATTTACAGCTCCTGCTGTGCTTGGTGGCACCGGAAAAGCAGGGTGAGCAGGGAGAAAATACGGCACGGCTTTTCCCAATCCCCATTTCCTCTCCAGACAGCACGCGCGAGCTCCTGGGGCCTGAACATCTGGGAAATTTAATTTTACAATTTCGGCTGTGCAGCAGTGTGCTCCCCTCCCCAAAACGCTTGGGGGAAGCTGGGGAGAGCTGGGGAGGAGGTGCCTCAGCGCTGGCCACCTGAGACTGCACCCAGCAGGGAGGCCAGAGCGGCGCAGACTGGCACTGGGCTGTGCCGGGCCCTGACACCCCTCCCTCCCCTCTGCAGAGCAAGGACCGCGACAGAAAGACAGCGATTCGAAGTTAGGAGGTGGTCGGCAGCAGCCAGGAGGCAGACGCTACTGGGGGAGGTGGACGCCCTGGGTGACCACAGACAGCCCCACCTTGGACCTGAGCTGGGCAAGGTCCGCCATGAGCACGTCCCCAAGGCCAACCCGGCCCTGGCTGCGAGCAGGGCCGAAGGACAGACGGACGTACAGACAGGCACCGGCAGTGGGACTCTGTGCTGGCCCCAGCACCTGCCCAGGCCCACTGGAACTTTCTGCGCTGGCTTCGGGCCTGGGTTTTCTTCTGGCCACTGTGTGTGGGCATCTTGTGTTTTTGATATGATAATATAAGTCTGAAAATTTTGTATAATTAAAAACAAAACAGTATCTTCCAAATATGGAGACCAACTGTCCTCTTGAAAGTTTCAGAATGCACCCCCAGCCCGAGCCTCCATTCCCACCCCTGGTGGTCCCATCCTCCTTGGGCCAAGCATCCGCAGCTCCCTGGGAAGCCCTCACTTTCCAGGGTTCAGGGCCATCCCTCCCTGGGCTGAGGCGGTGAGGACAAGCTTAGCTCACCCACGGAGGCCTCTATCGGAAAGCTGTGGGGTGGGGAACGAGGGAGCCCTGCCAGGGGAGAGGGTGGGGGAGGAGCTGTGTGGCAGAAGGTGGAAGAATGAGGGAGGACAGGGCCCCTGCCACAGGACAGGGACGGGGGCAGCAGCCGGGCAGGGGTGCCCCACTCTGGGGCCTGCCAGGCACCCAGGGGACAGGAGAGTGAGGAGGGTGCCACATCTGGCCTCCTCGGAGTGCCAAGGAGTGGCCACAAGGATTGGAGCAAGCTGTGCTGCCCAGCAGAGGGGGCGGGTGCCCTGCCTCCACGAGCCTGGACTGGAGGGACGGACGTCTTCTCCGTCTGCACCAGGGCCACTTGGACCCTGGAAGCACTGCCCACATGGGAAGGAGGACCCCCTGGCCACCCTCCTCTCACCACCGGGCACCACCCAGCCGGCTCCCTGAAGACCCCGCCCACCACAGGAGGTGGGTTTAGCCCCCACAGCGGTCTACACACAGCTGGCCAGTCATTAAAACCCTGCAGGTGACAATTACCATTTAGTGGTGTGAGCTCAGCGGGCATAAAGAGAAGAAAGGCGGGCAGTGCCCCCCCCAACCCTGCCGGGCCACAACCTGACTTCCGGCTGGGTGGACAACGGCTGACAGTGCCAGATGCGGGCGTTGGGGCAGCGGCCAGCCCCAGTTCCCTCCTCAGCACAGGCACGGATGCGCCCCTGGAGGGAAGACCAGGTGCTGTGGCCCACGTGGGCATCGGTGCAGGGCTGGGCCAGGACTGCCCCTCCTCTGCAAAGACAGGCTCCAGGGAACCACGGAGCAGGAAGCAGTGGTGTAATTTTGGAGGAAATTCTCAAAGCCAGAGCCATTAAGGGCTAGAGGGGGGCTGTGTCCAATCTGATAGAAATATAACAGGATAAAAAGTCACAACGGCAGGTTTCGTTCAGAGAGAAACCCAACCCCAAATTTCCTTTCCCTAATCCTGCAGGAGCCTACAGCTGGCCAGAGGGAGGGGAGGAGAGGACAAGCTCAGTCATTGCCGAAGCCCCCGCCCGCCGGGAAGCCAGGCCCCGGGGGACATGGGGGTGCAGCTAGGGGCTGAGGCACCCCCTCCCTCCCCTTCTTGGGTGCTCTCCTCACAACCCCACCCACCACCCTCCCAAGTGCTAAGGCGCCAGTGAGAAGTGGATTGGGTGGACCCAGGAACAAGGCCAGGCCAGGCACTCTACACAGCACCCGAAGGCCCAAGGCCCCTACGCCGGCCCTTCCTCCATGGGCACTGGGTGTAGTTCCGTAGGGAGGGTCTGTGGCCCACCTGCCCTTCACCTCCAGGCCCCCCATTTCCAGATCTGGGCCTGCTGGGGGTTGCAAACCTCCACATGAACCCCCACTTCAATGGCCAGTCAGTGTCAGGGACAAATCTGAGGAGCGGGCACTTGGAAGATACTGAGTCCCCCAGGGCAGGGACACCAGAGGCTGCTGGCCTGAGCAGGCAGGTGCAGGACCTTGGTGGCCGGCACCAATGGGCACCCCATGGCCAGAGCCCAGTGCCGGAGGGGATGCCAGCCTTGAGCTCAGAGCGGGAACACCGGAGGGCAGACTGGAGCAGGTGGGAAGGTACCGGCTGAGCTGGGGGGTCTGGGCAAGGTCAAGAGGGACTGCAAGGGAAAGGGAGGTCAGAGTCCCCAGTATTGGGGCCAGAATTTGGGGTGTCTAATGAGGCCAGAAGAAAGGGCATTGACCCAGAGGACTCGGAGCTGAAAGGATCCCCAGGGCCCCCACTGGTTGGGGTGCAGCACTCACAGCCAAGCCCTCTGCTGCAGGCCTGACTCCGACCGTGGCTGCAGCTTGGCCAGCCTCAGGCCTGGGCAGCCAGCCCAGCCGCTCCCTGAGCTGCACCGGTAGCAGCAGCCGAGGGCCTGGCCCGCCAGCCAGCAAGAGGGGAGGGGTGGGGGAGGAACACTCCGTCACCCTCTACTGCTCCAGAAATTCAAACCAGACCGGGGGTGGCGTGGGCTGACCCCAGGCCTGTGGCAGCCCACCAGAATCCCCTCTCGGCCGCCGGGCAGAGGAGTGGCAGGTGCTCCCTGCCCACCACAGCCCCTGGCTCCCTTCCCGGTGTGCTGGCCTCACCTCCACAGAGACCCAGGGCTCCCTCTGCCTGTGCCCCACAGAGGCAGCTGGGACGGAAGGGGGCCCAGCCTGTACCCTGGGCCAGCAGCCGCCCCTGTGAGCCGAGCTAGGCTGGAAATGCTCTGCTGGGCCTCAGCTGTCAGCTCCTGTCCCCGGCCTGGGGAACGAGCTGCTGGCGGCACACATGATTCATCACCGGCTGCCTGCGCCCACCACCAGCCGCCCCGCCCTGCACAGCACCTGCGGGCGCCAGGAAACACATGTGACCCCTCTGGGTCAGGCCCCGCACGAGACCCGGGCCAGCCGGGGGCACACACAGACCCAGCGTCAGTGCTCTCCTGGGGGCTGCCCAGCCCCAAGGACAGGCCCCCAGCCCAGACTGCACCGGACACAGGCCACAACTGGCTGATGTGTCGGCTGGGATTTTTCCGCTCTCAAGGAGCCCCCTTCCTTCCCCCTCCCCAAAGTGGCTGCAGCTGTCAGGACCACAGATTGGAACTGCAGGTATGGGGCTGGCCCGCTGCCCGCCTCCTCCCGTGTCTGTCTGCGAGAGAGGAAGCCGGCCCACCTCTGGAATCCTTCACTCTCTCCTCGTTCCGCCTCTCCCACCTGTCCCCGGGGAGCGTGGGGTCAGCCGCCCTCGCTCCGTCTCTCTCTTCCCCAGCCCCTCTCCGATTACAATGCGGGTAGTGTTCAGCGTTCTCGCCGCTCCCCTGCACGCAACACCCGCCTGTCTCGGAGCGCCACACAGCCTTCCTGTCCGACGTGAGGCCTCCTCCTCCTCCACCTCCACCTCCTTCTCCTCCTCTTCCTCAGGGCTTTATCTGTCAAAGTATTCAGGGCAAGGCCAGGGCAGGAGGCTCACCTGCTGCATCTCACCCGACTGAAGGATCCAGTGGGTTGCTGGGCCCTGGAGCCCGGGCCAGAGGGGAGAAAGAAAGCCAGGTCCTGTTTGGCCTCCTCCCCAAAGTCCAAACCAGTTGAGCAGACCCCAGCCCAAGGTGGGGGCCCAGACAGGAGGAGCCACCAGCCCAGACACCCTCACCTCCAGCTCTGCTCATGTCTATGCGTCTGCCCTTCCAGAGGCTATGCGCCCAGAGCTCAGCCTCCTCCCTGCACCTCCACAGCTGGGAGGGCAGCACATCAGCCCCTTGGGGTCTGCAGGCTGGAGAGAGGGCACTACTGGCCCAGAGGTTCCTATAGACCCTGGCCTGCCTCAGTCTCTGGTGGGGCTGGCCCAGGGACAATGGCTGTCTGACCCCTGCAGAGTACCCCAATGCCTGGCGGCTCATAAGCAGGGCCTCTCAGAAACTCCTGCAGGATGCTGGGAGTGGGGCACAGGCTTGGGGCACGGCACCCCACACCTAGTGCCCACCCCTTCTCAGCCTGCTCTGAGCCCCTTCAGTGCAGCTTCTAGGTAGGGTGGGGACAGGGCTCCAGAACCCTACACCCGACCAGCCCCCAACTCCACACACCTCCAGCATCTCAACATGGAAACTTTCCCCTCAGTCCCAAGCTCCCCACACACACGCACCTGTGACTCCCATCCCCAGCGGAACCACCCTGGCCTTGGGACACACGCCCAGACCCAGCCCTCTGCAGCCGGCCTCCCCAGAAGGCCCAGAGCCTGCAGCTGCCAGCACCCACCCAGCAGCCCTCACCAACCGCCCGACAGGCCTTGCACTCCAACAGCTTCCCCAGCTCAGCTTCACGGGCCGCTCTGCCAGCCCCAGGGCAAAGCTTCTGCTCAAGAGCCCTGTGGAGCATGCCCACCCCCCTACCCGGGTTTCTGCTGCCAAGGAGCCTGGCCCCGAGTGGCACAGCAGGCCCGGGCCTCCACCACCCTTGCAGCACACAAGCAGGAGGCCACGCCCACCTGTCAGCCACTGCCCGGCCTGGCTTCATCTGAGAGAGAGCCCAAGGTGCCCCCATGAGGGCCCTGGCTTCCCCCACCCCTCCTCACTGAGCCCAGGGGACTCTCCCAAACAGGAAAAGAGTGCAGCAGGCCAGGCTAGGAGGACCTCTCTGGCCAAGGGGCAGCAGCAGTCATGCCACACACACCCACCCACAGCCAGGCCAGCAGGGTGCATCCGTGCCCCTCCTCAGTGGGAAGGGACCAGACCCGAGGGCCAGCCCCAGCCCAGCCAGCAGCCCCCTCCGAGGGAGGCATACAGGCGGCCTCAGGGGTGGATGGCCGCCAGGGAGATCAGGGCGGTCTGCAGGCCCGGGCGCCCTCCACAAGCAGCGTGAGGAGGGCCCGTTTGCTTGCCGGGAAACCTGAGCTGAGGCCGCGCTGCCAGCAGCGACGCAAGCCTGAGTGCGCGCAGGGCCAGGAAGAAGGGGCGGGGGCGGCCCAGAGGAGTGGGAGGCCGCCAGCGCTGAAGGCAGCTGCCGGTTCAGTAGCTAGGAGAGGCCATTAACGGCGCTTGGCGCGAGAGCAGAGGGGACCAGGGCTCTGGATGCAGGCAGGCCAGGCTGCATCCCTGCGGGAACCCGACTCAGCCCAGGCAGGGGCAGGGGCACCGGGGAGCCACCAGGGCTACACCCCAACCCCAGCCTTCAGAGCCCCAGGGGGCCTTGCAAGGGATGGCCCCAGCCCAGTACCCCGGGGCACAGGAAAGGGATAGCAGAGGGCAGCTCCTCCGGCCAGAGTTCACAGCCACCCTGACCCCTGGCCTGCAGCACTTTCCCGACAAACACTGCCGCAGGCTGCTGGGCAGGCAGGGGAGGGTGGGTGGCTGCATCCTCCACCTGACAGCTGCCCAGCCTCAGTTTCTCCCACACGCTCAAATCAAATCAGAGTGGCTGCTTCTGCAAAGGCTGAGCAGCCCCCTCGCCCCGCCCCTCCGCCCCGGCCCACCTCCCCGGGGGTCCCCGCAGCTGGATGAGATCACGTCTGTGAAGCTCCAGGCGCGGTGGGAGAGGGGTGAGGTGGCCATGCGGGGGCGGGGCAGCTTGAGGCTCAGCCGGCTCCTGGGGACCCCCCACTGCCGGCGGCAGGACCCCAGCCAGGCCCAGCGCCTCCTCCTGGGGCTCCGCCCGCCTCCCTCTGCCTGCTGGCTGCTGCCTGCACATCTGGGGGAAGGGAACAAGGAGCCATGAGGGGCTGCTCAGGTCTTCCAAAGTCAGCGTCTGGCAGTGGGTCCCTGACACAGTGACAGACCCAGAAGCTCCAGTGTCATCCCAGTCCAGGCCTGGGTCCAGACCCAGGAAGGGCAGGGAAGTGGCCAAGAAGTCGAGGCAAGTGGGCAGGGGGGTGGCGAGGAGGAACTCCCACCAGCAGGAGCTCAGCCTGGCCTTCTCAGCAACACAGCCACCGCCACCCTTAATCCTCAGCCGAGATGGCCACTCGCAGGATCCATACCCCAGCAGCACCCTCCCTGCCCTGCTGCCAGCCCTGGAGGGCCCTGACAGTGAGGTCGGTCCAGGGACCTCTCCCAGCCACCTCTGCTCAGTGCCAAGGAAGACCAGAGCCACCTTCAAGGACACGGGGCTGCCCAACAGGCCCTGCTCTCCACTCCACTGTCTCATCAGAGCACGCAGGGTCAGCATCTCCTACCTCCCAAGCCTCCTCCCTGCCCACCGTGGCCCCACGTCACTCCCCTAGGGCCACCCCACTCTGCTCCAAGGGAATGGAGGCCCAGGCAGATTCGGACTTCTCTGGAAGGGAGGCATCTGTACTGGCCTGGCCAGCTCCTGAAAGCTGAGCTCTGCCGCCCCCTCGAGCCGCTGGCATCCTGGCTCCCTTGCTGTCACTCAGACCAGCATATGGGATAGTCATCACGGGAGGAAGCAGCCCCCACAGCCCTGGCCAGCTTCCTCCCGGCACGACAGGGGGCTGCCCACCCGGCAGGCAGCAGTGGCACAGCACAGGCCCCGGCAAGGCACCCCCGGGCAGCAGGGGCCGCAGGCCCTGCTGAGGCCCCTCCCCCGGCCTCTGCACTCCATTTACAATCATCATCGATTTCTCCAAATACCAAATATAAAAAAGTAGCCGACAGGATGTGGCTGCCGACAGCCAGAGCCCCTGGGAGGGGGAGGGGAGACAGGCAGGGAGCGCACGGCGCGGCCCCCCCTCTCTGAGTGAGCCCGCTGCTCCGGCCAGGAAACCAATTTATTTTGTTTTGTCTCTGTTCTCTGAATGCGCAGCAGAGACCGGATCGGGCGGGCAGCCAAGACTCCTGCAGCCAAGAGAGCCGAAGGATGGGGGAGGAACCTGGGGGGGGGAACGCGTGTCTCCCCAAGGTCCCCGGGGACAGCCCCTGACAGGCAGGCGGGAAGAGCTCCTTCGGGAAGACCCTACGCCAAAGCCTCCTTCCCCTGCAGCCCCCCAGGGCCCGAATGGGGCTCCACCTCACACCCAGGAGCTCCACTGGGACCACAGCCCTGTCTGGGGTCAGGCCACACTGAGGAGGGTACAGGCAGGCAGTGCCTCTGAGCCCAGAGCTCCTCAGAGCATCCAGCCCCTCCCAAATGAGGGCGGCCCCCACGAAGCCAAATCTGCTCCTGGACACAGCCCGTCCCAGCCTCTCCACGCCAGTGCAGCCAGCCCAGCAGCAAACTCCTAACAAGAAACAGCCAGCCTCCTGCCCCTCCTGAGAGATGCTCCCGGGACTCAGAGGCCCGAAGGCAATAGCCCCAGCCCATGTCAGTCACCATGGGGGGTGGGGGGAACTCCAGGGGAAGGGAAGAGCCGCTGCTGCCCAGAACACTGGGAGGTGGCCCAGCCCTGTCCTGCCAGAGGCCAACCTGTGGCCCACCCCACAGCAGGCACGACCGGGGTGCCACCGATGCCCATCGCCCGACCCAGACCATGCATGCTGCCCCCAGGGAGCCCACAGCCATGCTGCAGATGCCACAGGAGCCCCGGGGCCTGTCCACAGGCCAGGACCGACATGGGGCATGGAGCCATACCCAGCTCCTTCCCTTTCGCAGGTGATGGTGACCACAAACACTGGAGGCATGTGTCCCAGACCCCAAAATTGCTCTTCCAGATAGGGAGCAGGACCCCGAGCCAGGACGCCCACTCAGGCCTCGGCAGTCTCACTGCCGCCAAGACGCCTCTGCCCCTGCCAATGCGGCCCACCTGCGGGCAGGCCCCAGCACCCCCAGGGCAACCCTGGCCCCGAGGCCCCACACCTGCTGGACTATAATGGAAGCTGCCCCACCGTGCCAGTGGGAAAGAAGCCCCAGCCCACCTCCTCATCAGAGCTGTCCTCGGCATACTCATCTGCAGTCTGGACATTAGCCATCTCCATCCTGGGGCGATCGGTGTCAGCCTGCAGAGAGAGGGGGAGAGTGGTTACCTCAGGGAATAGAAGGTATCCTTTGACCTTGGGGAGACCCCAGACCCAAGCACCCCATCACCCCCAAGTCTCTGAGCAGCTCCAGTCTGGCCCAGGCCACAGCACAAGGCCAAGAACATCCAGCTCAAAGGGAGCCTCTGGGGGCTGTGGCTGGCACCTGGCACCACAGGTCCTGCCCACAGCCCTGTCCTCTGCAAGGCTGGGCTGCAGCCTCCCCAGACCTCTGTCCCTGGGCCGACACTGGTGTCAGGCTGGATACAGGGCCACTGGGGCAGTCAAGAGCAAAGTCCCCAGCTGAGAACTAAGACCACCCCCCACCCCCCACCCACCACCCCATATACCCATCCATATCAAAGCTGCAGGATCCCTCCCAAAGGGACCTGCCTGGGACCAGGGGCAACATGGTGGGGGCAGGAGCAGACGCAGGCATCACAGCAGCATCACCAGGTACAATGCTCTTGAAGGGGTCAGGGCACACATTGTCCCGGGAGCCACATCCAGCCCGGTCCAGCCAGCAGAGGGCCCAAACACTCAGAATGCCTGCAGCCCCCAGCATTCTCCCACTCCCCGTGTCCACAGCCCAGGCCAACCCCATCCCACCAGGTCACAGAGTGGGCGCCACTGAGAATTCACATCCCAACCTGGAAAACAGATTCTGCCCTCGACTGGGGAGGTGAGGATGGCTCCAACCAGATCGGGTTTACTGGCGGAACCAGGACTGATGGGGAAAACAGGCGCACCTCTCACCCTTGGGGGCAGTAAAGTGCTCGGGCGCAGGAACCCCAGAGTGAGGGCGGGCGTGCCCCACCCCCGCCCGAGCCCCTCTTCCCTCCTGCCCAGGCAGGAGCCAAAGGCCTGTGGAGCCAAGCTCCTCCTCTGCCTGTTTTTCCCTTCAATACAAAGAGAGATGGGAGACTAAGTTTTTTTCCAGGCCAGGAACAAGGAAGGATTCAGTTTCCACATCTCCCACCACTGCTGACAGTGGCCTGGGGCACCCAGTGACACTGACCTCTTGCCCCTGCCCAGGGCACACAAGCCCCCACAGCTACAGCAGACACGCCAACCCTGGCCCCAAGCCCCAGACCTGCACGAGGGCAGTTCCACGCCCAGCTGTGGTCAGCCACCCCCACCCAGCCTCTGCTACACGGATCTCCACAGGGGACCGGGCTGAAGCACCCTCGGAGTCTCAGCCTCAGTGCTGCTCGTGGGCCAGTCCCAGGGTCCTGGCAGTTGACGACAGATTTGTACCCAGAGCTCTGTGCCCCGTGGCCCCTGTGCTAGACATGGACAGACCACAGCACAGGCAGGCCCTGGGCAAGGGACAGAGTTACCCTTCAGAGGTGCTGGGTTCCCAGGGGCACAGCATCCCCATGGGATAGCTGCAGGGCACACTGAGTCCACCAGGGGGCGGCAGCACCCAGCTGGGCCCAGAGGTGCAGGCAGGGGCGGTGCGGGCAGGGGCGTCCTCTGCTGGGAACTGCCTGACCTAGAAGGCCCCTTCAGCTTCTGAAGACAGATGCTGTGGGGCATTGGATATATATTTTTTGTTTGTTTGTTTCGGTTTGGTTTTTGCCAAGCAGTGGCTCACAGCTGTAATCCCCACTCTGCGGGAGGCCAAGACGGGTGGATCACCTGAGGTCGGGAGTTTGAGACCAACCTGACCAACATGGAGAAACCCCGCCTCTACTAAAAATACAAAATTAGCTGGGCGTGGTAGCAGGCGCCTGTAATCCTAGCCACTCAGGAGGCTGAGGCAGGAGAATTGTTTGAACCCGGGCGGCAGAGGTTGCAGTGAGCTGAGATGGAGCCACTGCACTCCAGCCTGGGCAACAAGAGCAAAACTTTGTCTCAAAAGTAAAAATTAAATTTTAAAATCAGAAGAAAAGGCCACTAACGCCCTAAAGAGGCTAGGCACAGTGCTCAAGCCTGTAATCCCAACACTTCGGGGAAACCAAGGCAGGCAGGTCAGAGTCAGGAGATTGAGACCATCCTGGCTAACAAGGTGAAACCCCGTCTCTACTAAAAATACAAAAAAAATTAGACAGGTATGGTGGTGGGCACCTGTAATCCCAGCTACTCGGTAGGCTGAAGCAGGAGAATCACTTGAACCCGGGAGGCAGAGGTTGCAGTGAGCCGAGATTGTGCCACTGCACTTCCAGCCTGGGTGACAGAGTAAGTTTCCATCTCAAAGAAAAAAAACCTCTAACGATACGGACAACAGAACACAGACCCACGCCACACTCTGGACTCCTGGGGACAGGACCCCTCCCGTGATGACCATGGCTGGAGTCTGCCCAGATCCTCCAGGACCCCAGCACCACCTGCAGGAGCCCCGGCACACCCTGACTGAGGACCTCCGCCGCCAGTGGCGTGACATGAGGGAAGGGTCCACAGGCAGGGATCCCTGAGGAGGGGCCGAGCCTGACGGAGCCCAAGAGTCATGTGAAGATGAAGGAAATGTCGAGAGAGGGCAGGCGAGTGCCACTGGGCAGCGGCAGGTGGGGCTGAAGGACCAATGGCAGGAAGCCGCTGAGGGGAAGCGCGAGGACACGGTGTCAGGACATGGCAGTGCCACTGGAGCTCAGGGAAGGCAGCTGCAGTCCCTGAACCCTGTGTGGCCTCTACCAGCCCCAGGGCTAGAATGCCACCATGAGGACCAAAGGTAGAAACCCAGGGCGGGCTCAGCCAGCCAGAAACGGCGTCCAAGCACATGGCCCCTACTGTGTCTACAGCAGAGCCTCCCTGCCCAACATCAGGCCCGCCAGGCCGCGCCCCACTGCCACCAACCAGGCCTGTGACAAAGGCTTTGCCCTCACCTCCTGGAAGAGAAGAGAGAGCCAGGGCCTGGGTCGGTGGGAAGGAAACTCTGCCCTCGAGGCTACCTTCGCTATGGGGTCTTCGTCAGGGCTGCCGACAGGAGGGTTCTTCTGGGGAGGGACAATACTAGGGAAGCCCAGAGACCAGAGCCAGTGTCACCAGCAGGGCGCCAAGGGGGCCAAGAGAACCAGTGCTGCACCAGAGATCCCACACCTGGCACCTCGGCGTCGGCAAGGCTCCCCAAGGCCCTGGTCACATGAGCTGCAGGGTGCCCAGCAGAGAGACGGGCTGGCATCCAAGAGCTCTGTGTGGACAGCTCATCTGACAGCAATGACTCATAAACCGGTACCTAGAAAACCCACATTTTATTTTAAAGAAAGCACATCAGGCCGGGTGTGGTGGCTCACGCCTATAATCCCAGCACTTCGGGAGGCCCAGGCGGGTGGATCACGAGGTCAAGAGATCGAGACCATCCTGGTCAACATGGTGAAACTCCGTCTCTACTAAAAATACAAAAAATTAGCTGGGCATGGTGGTACGTGCCTGTAATCCCAGCTATTCAGGAGGCTGGGGCAGGAGAATTGCCTGAACCCAAGGGGTGGAGGTTGTGGTGAGCCGAGATCGCACCATTGCACTCCAGCCTGGGTAACAAGAGCGAAACTCCATCTCAAAAAAAAGAAAGCACATCAGCAGGAACTGAAAAGCCCAGGGAAAATACAAGCCAAAAATTTCGGTTTTTTTCTCAGGGAAAAGGAAGGTAACTCGGAGGAGCCCAAGAATGGCAGGGTCATTCCCAGGGATGAAGGACAACCCTGCATGAGCCACTGGCCATGTGTGCCACCACCACAGACTCCATGACCACCACAGCCCTGACCATAAGACCCCCACGACCACCACTGGCCAAGACCACCATGGGTCACAACCACCACAGGCCACGACCGCCATGGGCCTCAAGACCACCACAGGCCACGACCACCATGGGCCTCAAGACCACCAATGGCCAGGTGCCCAGCCACCTTAGGACTACCACAGACCAGAGACCATAGTACAGCATTGTGACTTGGTGCCCCACTGCACACAGCTGGGTAGAGAGGAGCCCGAAGACTCCAGTCTGCCGGGCCTGGTTTAGATGAGACCCTGGCAGTGGAACGATTTCTGAGGAGCCTTGGGGGAAGAGTATTTGGCAAGGGTAAGGGTGACTATGGCCATTTTAAAACGCAGCCACAAATCTTTAATTTTTGTCACATCAAGAGGTGGAGCCTGTCCCCCCGCCCCAAATCTGGGTGGGCTTACGGCTGCTTTACCCAGCCACGGGAGGCAGCCCACATTGACAGCACGGGATTGTGGGCTGAGCTCATGAGAGCTGTGTAGCTCTGCCCGGTGCAGGAGATAGTGTCAGTGCAGCCCTGAACCCTGGGAGGGAGAACAGCTGAACGGGGGTGCCCTTCATGAACATAGCCATCAGGGACCATTTGGATGCAGAAGAGGCCCAGCTGTGCTCACCTGAGATCCTCACCCAAGTCGCAGAGCACGGGATGTGAGCTGAGTGTCACCCCTCCTGGAGTGGGATGTAGCAGAAGCCTGAGACTCCCCTACCCCTCAGCGTGACACTGTACTAGGGGTGACTGACCCTACTGCTTTCAGCCTGAACTCTGACCCTTCAGATCCAGAATGCTATAAAATGTCTGATGCTGCAAAGTGCCAGGGCGGGGGCGCAGAGCAGCTGCCTGACTCCCCCATGGGGGCCAAGAAACTCGGAGCGGGCGGTCTGTAACAGAACCCAAAGCACGGGCATGGGCGGAGGCAAGAGGGGAACTCGCCACCAGCCCTGGCCCCTGGTCCCATCCCCAGCTCTGTGGTCCACACCCAGACAAGTTCGCCCGAGGTGGGTCCCACTAACCAACGGGTGAGAATCTGGGCAACCCCTTCCCAGACCCCACAGAGAGCAGCTCCAGACCACGCTCCACCAGACAGCAACAGCGCCCAGACCCCAGAACCACAGCAACACGGCAGCCCGGGCCAGGTTTCCCAGGGCTGCGGCAACGCACCCTGTGGCTGCCATTCCCAGAGCTATGCAGAGACCCTGACCGGGTCCCCTGCCCAACCGTCTGAACTCTCAGCACGGGCAGCACTCCCTTAAGTCATCTGGGAAGGCC